GAACCATAGCATCAATAAAATCATCTTGAGTAACTAAAACTGTATGATATAATCTTAAACGAGATACATTAACATAAGAATAATCTGTTTCTTTAGTTCCATTGATATGATTCCAAACAACATCTGGATAATATGCTTGACCATTAACAGAACATAATGTTTCATTGATAGATGCAGTCAAAAATCTATTTATATACTTATAGAAATCTTCTGGAACAGGACGTTTTTTATCAGTGAAGTTAGTGAAACAAGGAGTACATTCAGTATAATTAGGCATATCATATGGACAAATATTACCATCTTTATCTAACCTACAACAATCTTTTTGAGCAGCCCAAGAGAAATAATCATCAATCCAATCAAATGTAGTTCCATCAATTGTTCTTGCAGCGTCATAATAATTTGGAATAGATAAAGCATCACATCCAAAATTATCTGATGCACAAAGTGCACTTTGGGTTGTTTCATTCAAATATGTTGCACCATCCCTTACAACAATGTATACTGGTGGACCAATTTCTAAATAAGTTAAAGCAACAAAGTAGTCTTGAATATAAGAGTCTTGTGGAAGAGCAGTTTCTTGAGGTAATCCAAGCATAGTTTTTGGAACATAATTCAAAGAGAAGATAAAGAATGCAATAAAGAAGAATAAACCAATAATCTTTACTGGATAATATGACAAGAATGTAGCAACATATTTAAAAAGATGTTTAATAAGAGAGCCTCTTTCAAAATCATGTTGTTCATCTAAAGAATTGTCATGAACTTGTAACCAAGGAATAAAATCTAATCCATGATTCTCTTGTCTCTTAACATCATAACATAATAACACTGCATACACAGTTATTTGTAATATAAAGTCAATGAAAATAGCAAGACCAGCATATAGTGAAAATGATTGAACTGCTGGCATACTTGTTAAATAACCAAGGAAGAAAGCTAATGATTCCGATATTGAAGCTAACATCATTGAAGGTCCAACATGCATTAAAGAATGTTCAAGTCGTTTTTCTACTGGAACATACTGTCCATCTTTATCGTACATAGGTTGTTCATCAACAGTATTTGTAAGAATGAAAATGTTATCTACTCCAATTGCTAAAACTAAGAATGGAATAACTTCAGTAATAATTAATGTTGCTTCTACATTAATCCAAGAGAAGAATCCAGCAGAAGTAAATACTGAGAATAAGACAATGACAATACCAAGAATACCTAATAAAATTCTAGACTTAACAAAAACAGTCTTGTAATTAAAATGATAGAATGAATTTCCTAATGACAAAGAAATATAAATAAACATAACCATATATGAACAAAGAACTGTTAATACATCTGTAAATGTTTCTCTATTAATTTCATCATCTACAGAACGTTGGGCTTGATATGCTACTTTTACTAATGAATAGTCTCTATCTAAAATTTCTAAATATTTTTCTTCCCATAATTCTGCCCACTCTATCACAGTTTTATTTGGTTGGTTAAACATAAATGTAGCTTGGAGAATTGTTGCCTTCATTGGATCGTTATTATCACCAACTGTATAATTACCAAGAGAATTATGTGGATCTACAGGTGAACCAATATCATCAGCACATCCAGTAGCCAATGGATTACCAAGACAGTTTTGAATATATTGAGTAACATTTTCTGTATTCATTATTTTGTTAATATCATGTTGCCAATACCCAGTAACTGATGTAATAATACATCCCTTTCCAAAAACAGGTTTGTAACACATATCATCCATTGTAATATCTTTTGTTATTCCAGTTTCTTTATCTGTCCATTCCACATGGATAGCTCGAATTTCATCTATCATTTGTTGTAATTGAACAATTAATGGTTGTGTTAATACTTGATTACCTGGATGTAATTTATCAGATAACATAAATTGATTAATTCTAAAGAAAGGACCAAATGCCTCATCATAATAATTCTTATCTTTCATTGTCTGACAATTCTTTGGTACCCAAAGTCCTAATGAATCTGTAATAAAAACAATTTTAAAAACTCCAACACATAAAACAATACAACATAATATTACAACAGTTAATATAATCCACTTAAATTTCCATAAGAATTTAGTATACCAAGACATAGCTTTAGATAAGAAATTATCTGTTAAATCAACTTTGTTAGTGTCTTCTTCACAACTTTCTTCTTGTCCAAGAATAGATACTTTTGCTGAATCTATAATATCTTCTGATTCTTTTTTATTATAAAGAGTATAAATAACAAAATAATATAAATCATAAACACTATATCCAATAACATATACACCAAATCCAATATATAATAAAATCATTCCTAATAAATTTCCATCTCCCCATGGCATTGATGTTATTACTCCTTCCATTGGAAAACCAACAACAATTATTCCCATAATAATGAATCCAATTCCTAATAAAGTAACAGCTCCAAGAGAGATATAACTAATATAAAGAAGTGTTGGATTAGATTTTTTCATTTGAGTAAATGTTTTATAAGAAAGAATTCCACCACAAACAGTAATAATAACCATAATAAATAACATAAATAAATGGATAGAAATAATAGTAATAATATTTAAAGTACCATCTAAGAATGGATAATCTTTAAAAGTAGGTTCATCTTCAATAAATTCTGTACACATCTCATGACAAGATTGACATGAACACATATCACTACATTTATGCATTTTAGTATATTTACTTCCATTATATCCTGTTTCATCATAAACAAAATGAAGTGGCATAACTGGATTAACATCAGAAATCATTTGGAAAAATTCTTTGTATGTTGGATATAAAGACCTAACTGCAAAACCACCAGATAATTCAGTATCTTTACAAGAATCATAAATTTGTTGTGCATATAATGGATGAAGATAATAATATAAACTTGGGACATCAATTCCATCTGGTTCATTACAAGTATTATCGTGTTTAAAATCATCAATTTCAGTCCATCTTGCTGAATTTGGATCACATGCAAATCCACACCATAAATTCATTTGATTTAAATAACATGCAGGACATTTACCAAATGAACCATCAAGAAGAGTACTTTGTTCTTTTAAATCTAAAACAGAATATTGGTCACAACAAGTTTTATGTCCAAGAGTAACATTTGGATCAAATTCTGGATGTTCAGAAATACAAATTTCAATCATATTTTCAGGTGCTGGGTATGCATCAGTGAGATATAATGTTCCATCTGATTTCATATTAATTGCTGGTGCAGTACACCCAGGAACATTATGCATACGACATTTATTATTATATTGATCAAGGTTATTAATATCTCTTTCTCCTCCAGGTAATGGTGTAATACTAATTACAACACTTATCAAGAAGAAGAAAACAAACATTACTTTTTTATTAGTTAAACCAATTTTGACTTTGTTGTCTTTAAACGACTGTCATGCCTGTCGTATTATACATTATTATTATTTTTACTATTATTATTTTATTTATTTCATTTTAAAACTAATTTTATTTCTTTTTTTCAGTTCTTTCATTAAAAAATAAAAAACACATTTCTATTATTGTGATAAATACATTGAAACTACATAATACAATAAAAATAATATCGAAAAATAAAACTTATCTTCTTTGATATGATAAAACTTAACAAATAATGAATGAAAAAGCATTTTTTTATTTAAAATATATCCACGTGGCGGAGTTTGATATTTAAATCAATCATCTCATAAAGATTAAGATTATATTACAATGAATTTTAAAAGAAAAATACCATTATGTGAAGAAAAAATTGGAGAGTTATGTGAACCTTTAAGTTTGTTTTACTATTTTACTTCCATAAGAAAGAAATAAGTTTAAATTTTAGTAAATGCAAATGGTGTTATTTTTTGTAAAAACTGTGGAATTATTTTAGATAAATCAGCGATAGAATACATTCCTGAAGAAGAGTTTGGGTGTATCTTTTTTTAGATAAAGACTAATTAGGAGAAGTAATAAACTAGTAAAGTAAAACAAAAGAAAAAAAATGAAGTAATGAATACATTAGAACATTATTTTCAATTAATAAATTTAAATGAAATTCAATTAAAACAAGGAAAAGAAATTTATCAACAAATAAATGGAACAACAATTAAAGTAAAAGGAAAAAAATTAGAAAAAGTATTACTTGGAATAGTATATCATATTTGTAAAATAGAAAATAATGGATTAACAATCAAAGAAATTTCTAAAAGTATTAATCATACTGAACAAGAAATTCTTTTTGGTTATAAATTACTTGAAAAACTTATTCCAGAAATAAAAACAGGAGGAAATAGGAATAATTTACTTAATAGTCTAATTAATAAATATTGTATTTCTAATAATTTTAATAATTACCTTAATCAAGCATTAAAAATTTCAAAACCTATTCAATCTGTTTTAGAAGGAAAAAAACCAAATACTATTGCTGTAGTTACTATTTTCTTTGTATTAAGATATTATAATGTGTTTGTTTAATATTATTCATTCTAATTATTAATAATGTTATATTAATCATTTTTAAGACTTAATGGGTCAATTGAAAAAATAATTACAACTAATTGTGATGTTACTATTTCTAATGTTCGTCAAGTCCTTCAAGTATTAGACAAAAATAAAGAAACACTAGAAAAAATGTTGAAACAATTTGATGCTATTGAACTAATGAAACAATAAATTTAAATGAAGTGTATTATAACAATTTGTTATTTTAAATTTAGTTATTTTTATTTTTTTTTTTAAATTAATTTAAGATTTTATTATTTATTATAAAAATATTTTGTGTTAATTTATAAAACTTTTTGAGATGTTTATTAAGATATTCTTTTGATTAATTGATAAGTTTTATTTTCGTTTTTGTCTTTTTATTTATTCTAATAATTTTATTATTTCTTAATAAAATACAAAAATGGGATTTAAAAACAAAAATGATTTAACAACAGAAATAAAATTTAAAAAACAATAAAATCAAGAACTATTATTATTTTGTTTTTGATAACAAGTATATAAAAGAAGATGCAATCATTTAAATTTATTAAACAATATCCTTCTTTAAGAAATAAATTTGATAACAATTACAACGTCAAAATACCCTCAAGAAAAGACCCTATTGATCGTTCACAAAATCCTCATTATAATTCTTATGAAGAAGTTTACAAAAAAGAATTTCCAGAAAAGAAATTTGAGATAAAAGAACTTCCTGGTAAAGGTAGAGGACTTGTTGCAGTAGAAGATATTCATGCTGGAGAACTTGTTTTTAAAGAACAAGCAACAATTTTTTTTGAAGGAGAAGAAGATAGTGAATCAAATAAAGATTCAACTTATTATATGGTAAGAAGTATTTATGATAATACTGCATTTTGTAGTGTTAAATTTGCAACAGAATTAGCACAGAATCATCAACGAGATGAAGAATTTAGTGAACATGTTAAATTTATTTATGAAGATTTTAAAGAAGATAAAACATTATTAAATCCTGTTGAGTTTGAAGACATTAAACGTATTGTTAATGGTATTCATACTAATTCATTTTCATTAGACTTTATTGATGGGTATGCTGTGTTTATTGCTTGTAGTCTTGCAAATCATTCTTGTAAAGAAAATGTTGGATGGCATACTGTTGGAGATGTTATGTATTGGACGGCATTAGTAGACATTCCAAAAGGAACTGAAATTACAATTTCATATACATTCCCTTCTATTCGTCCAAAAAGAATTCAATATTTTCAAGACAATTATGGATTTATTTGTGACTGTCCATTATGTAGTGGACCAATAGATCCATGGAGAGCATTTAAATGTTCTTGTGGAGGAATAATATATCCAGAACCAGAAGGATATAAATGCCATTCATGTGAATATATTTGTACAGAAGAAGAGATAAATCAATTTAATGAAGAAGAAGATTTTATAATTGATATGGAAAAATTAAAACGACATAAAGCATATTATAATCCATTAAGAAAAATGCATGACACTCATCTTTTCTTATTTAAAGCAATGAGAAAATATGTTTCTTTAAAATCTTGTCCTAATCCTTTAGAAATATTTGAACAATATTTAATTCCAGTAGCAAAATATCAAGTTCAATTTAGTCATGGAAGAGTATTTGCTGCTGTATTAGAACAATATGGAGTTGCTTTAATGAAATATTCTAAAATTATGCCAGATTTATATGAATATTGTAAAACTAAAGCTTTAGAATCATTTCAAATGGCTTATGACTATCGTTGTTCATTAGGAATGGGAAGAACTGGATATGCAGCTGCAGTACTTCAAGAACATTTAGATATTCTTGATCCAAAGAATTTAAACAATTTTGTAGAATATGATGAATATTAGATTCAATCAAATTTCTTCTTTTACTTTAGTTATTCCTAAATATCTTTTAAAATAATATAAAACTAAAAGAATAAAAGAATTGATTTCATTATGAAATTGTTGATGTTCTTAAATAGTTGAAAATGCAAGGAAATGAGATACATTAAAAGTATCTGGTTGATGACTTCCTGTAAAAACATCAGACCCAATTTCTGTTGGATCATTATAAAATTCATTAAAATCATCAGAAATAAATGCTGTTGTTCCTGTTAATCGGATAAAATGCCAAACTTCCATTATTTCATGTTTTGTATTAAGTTCAATATTAAAGTTCATTTCTTCTTTAGGATCAAATCTAACAGGAATAAGATCAAATGGGTTTTGAAGAATAAATGGTGTTATTTTTTTAGAACCACTAATTTGGAATCCAAAACTATCACTTTCTGTAATAAAGACAATAACAATGTCTTCTAAATCAATAATCTTTTCAAGTCCAAGGAAATTAGTTCCATTATAAATTAAATTCATTTGGTCACAATGAAGAACTTCTTTTAATTCATTAATATGAGAATTAATAAATTCTTGTGCTACAGAGTCTGGTTGAATAGTCATTTTTTTTCTTTTTGTTGTTGGTATAAATTTCTTACTATAAAAATTAAATGATGATGGACTTCTTGATGGTTGTGGAACATTTACTTTATTTCTTTGAACAAATGATTTACTACCTAACGAATATTTAATAGAAACTTGTTTTGTTTGTTGTTCTTCTTTAGGACCAGTTTTAATTGGTTCATTAATAACTTCTTCTCCAAGAAAATCAGCAACCACATCAGCACTTTCAAATTCTATTTGTTGTTTCTTTCTCTTTGGAACAAAACTTTTTGCATTTAATTGAAGACTAACTTCTTTTTGTGGTTCTATACAATTATCAGCACTTCTTGAAGGAATATATGCCTCATTTGGAAGTTGTGGACTTTCATCAGAAAAGTTTATATTTGAACCCATTCTTTGTTTTTCTAATGAATCAGTTACTGACCTTGTTACTTGTGCTTTAGGAATGAATACATTTTGATTTCCTTTCTTTCTAATATTATTCCATTTACTTGAATTAAGTTTAGTTAACATATTGTGTTCAATTGTTGATGAGATTTTAAATTCTTTAACGAATTCATAAATCTCCTTTTCATTCTCAAAAGGGAGGCACCGTGCCAACCATTTCTCTACGGCAATTTGGTAATGTTTTTGTTCACTAATAATAGAGTTAAGCTGTTGAACAAGTTCAATTACATTTGTTAATATATCTCCAGTAACTATATCACTAATATTTTTACATTTATCTAACAATAAATTATATTGATAGCTAGAGCCGTATGATGCGGTTGGCTGTACCAATTGAGATGGTTTCATTCACACAATAGTATTTCCTATTCTTTTTTAGATATTTTTTTTCAATAGGTTTTTTTATAGTTTTAAAAAAAATAAAAAAAAACATTGACAAAAAAAAATAAGTTTCTTTTTATCGTAAAAAGTATGTTTTAAGTTCTAAGCAAAATTAGCTTCAAAATACTTTTTCATCTCAAACAAACGTCCAGCATCATCTTTTTTAGCAGTTCCAGCTAACCATCCAGGAATTGATCCGCGTGCATCAATAACCACAACTCTATGAACTTCAATTTTATTATCACCAAGTGGTTTTAAAACTAATCCACTCTTCTTATAACCACGAACATAATTCTTATTTGGTGTTGTCCATTTAGCTGGATAATTCACTGATTCTTGAAGAAGATAATACTTTCCATCTCTTTGGAACCAATTTTGAACTCCAACAAATTCACGAGCAGTTACTGGCCATGGTGCTTTATAGCACACACGTGCTATTTCACATCCTTCATCTTCAAAACGTTGGTCACGTTCAAATTCAAGAAGGTCAGTATCATATTTCTTTTGTTCTTCAAAAGTAGAGTGAATAAGGAAATTATATACCTTCTCAATATTAGCATTGATAGTACAACTGCTCATTACAAGGTGTTTATATTCTTGTTGTGGCTGGTCTACTAAAGTAATTTCTGGGTTATTATAAGATAAAGGATTCCATTTTTCATTAATAGCCTTGTCAATCCATTCTTTTAATTCTTCACTTTTCTTAATAATTTCTTCTTTAGTATTCACAGTAGAGCAATATTCAATTTCCACAGACATCTTCTTTCTGGATATATTCTTATTTTTTAAGATTCAATTTAACGAAAGCATAACGTGGCATAATTGAAACAAAAGTTTTAAAGACTCCATTAAGTAGCTCAAAATCACTTTGAGTTTAAATTTTTTGTTTAACTTTTTTTAGAAGGAAAAATCCGAGATATGAAATACCAGTTAATAATGTAAATTAATCATCAATCAACTAATTATTGAAGCGAATGAATAAAATAATACCCAAGTATCAAATCATTTTGTAATTCTTTTGTTACTCCATGTTGAACTGGATAGTAAAATGAATGCAAAGAATATTTCATTTCTTTTAAGATTCCTTTTATTTCATTATGTTTAATGTCAATTGTTGTAGGTTCTATAATTGTACTGAAATTTGGTATTTTATTATAAACAAACAATACTTCTTGTGATAGTTGATTTCTTATTACCTCAAGTTTATTTAATTCTTTGATATGGTCTTCTACATATTGATGAATAAGAGATATATCTGGGAATCCAACTAATGCTATTCCTTTATAAGAGACATCTTGTCCATGTGCATCAATAATCACATGTTCTGGAATAGTTTTTTTAAATTCTGGAAGGTTATATATTTCTTGAAGTTGTTTTGGTATAAGATGAATGCTTTTGGGAGGTAAAACAGCAATGAGTTGTTCTATAGGATGAATTGGACCATCATCTTCTGCTATTGTAGTTAATTCTACTGGTTGAAAATAGTCAACGAAATGACACAATAATGGTGCATAATGACATTTATAACCCCATTTCCATGAAAAGGCATTACCACAGTAATAATTAAAGACCCAATTCATTCCTTCTAAATAACTTTTAACACTATCTTTAATATATTCTTCTTTATTCATAAAATATGTTTGAACATAACGTTCTTTGTATCCAGACTGTCCTAATTTAATTGTTTTATTTGTATCAATATTAATAAAACCACAAATTGGTTGAGCAGAACCTCTTCTAGTTTTCATTTGACTCTCTATTAGTCTTTGTTCATGTTGTGCTAATTCTGTAAAAAATGCAAGAACACCATTATTATTAACTTTTCCATTTTCTGTAATTTTAATTCCTTTTGAATGTAATTGGAAATAAATGTTTAGTACTGTGTTTAATGCTCCCGCATAAATATCAATTCCTTCAATATTTGGAAGAAAATCATTTCCAGCAATTGACATTAAATAAATAAAATCATTTTCTAATTCTAATCTTTCAATCGAATTTTCATATTGGCTAGATAATTCTAATAATTTTTTACTAATAAGAGAGATATTAGCAAACTCAAAAGGAATTAAAAACTCATCATCATCACTTCCAAAGACTTTTTTTAATTCTTTTTTTTCTTTTTCAATTTTTTCATTTTCAACTTTTTTTATTTTATCTTTCATTACTTTACTTTTTCCTGTTCCGTTTCTTGCTGGTTTACTTCCTTTTTTATTTTTATCAAATATTTGTCTTGTGTCTTTCCTTAATATGAATATTGAGTCATAATGAAGAACTAAACTTAACAATAAAAGGTCTGCATCTTCTCCATAAATAACATGACTTTCATTTATTCGTTCTTGACTTCTTATATATTCAATAATTTTATGTTCTCCTTCTCCTGGAACATGAACACCAGAAACAATAACTTTAATTCTTCTCCAATAATCTAATCCTTTATTATTCATTTGATTTAAAATAAATGATTCAATTCCGACACTAATTTTTTCCATAAGTTCAGTTCCTGGTGTAATAGCATTTCCTTCAAGACAATCAGTAGTAAATCTTCTCTTTCTTTGTTGAATCATTTTTGCAATAGGACATACCCCATCAATAGCAATATAAAGTAAATTTCTAGGTCTAACTATCATAATAATTCTCATTAATTGATTTTGTATATGTTCTATAACTTCTTCAATCGTTTGTTTATCAATAGAACTATGTATTAACCCGTTAACATCAATATATAAATTATCAAATTCTCTTCCATTTGGATTATTACGTGTTAAGTCAATATCAAAATGTTCTTTAGCCTTTCTTGAAAGATTAGGAACTGTTTTACATAACCAACGATATAATGAAGGAACTCCCATCAGTCTTGTTTTTTTGATAATAACAGTTTATCCTAAAAATTTTTTGTTGTTCTTTTGAAGTATGTCTTTTCTCATAATTTTCTTAGAACTAAAAAGTTGTAATAGTTATTTTGACTCATTAAAGAAGTTTTTATTCAATTAGGTATGATATTTTACTTCTTTGGTTTATTTTTTTTTTTTGGTTTTATTGTATGTTTTTAATAGAGTTATTTATTCACTGTAATTTAGTTAAAAAATAAATAAATTTTATATCATTTAAAGTGATTTTTTCGAATAAGCTTCATTAAAAATTCCATTTATTTATTTAAATAAATCGCCATACAATTGTCTTTGTATGTCATCCCACATTTTTCATAAAACCCTTTGACTCTGTCTTTACAATCTAAAATAATTCTACAACACCCTTCATCTTTTCCAATAATTAACAGTGAGTCAATTAATCCTTTACCAATTCCTTGATTTCTTCTGCTTTGTGTCACTCCAATATCTTCAATATGTCCGACTAACCCTCCATTCCAAATAAATTTTCTTTCAATGAACAAAGTACCAACACAAACTATTTTTTCTTGTTCATCTTCTCCAACAACAATAACATATCTACCAGTTTCTTTCTACCTCATTTAGTTCATTTAAAATATAGCACTTTGTTGTGTGTCTAGACAAAAAGACAAACCAATTCATCAAAGATTTTTTCATATTTTTGTTTGTCCATTTGACAATTTGATAATTCATTTAGAACTTGAATAACTCCTTTGTGGTAATCTTCTCTTTCTAAACATCTAAAGCGAATATAATTTATTATAGGTAGTGTTGATTTTATATGGTATATACTATTCATAAGTATAAAAATGAATAATGCTTAGAACTTTTTATTTGAAAATACTATTTTTAATTTATTCATTTCAATGCATCATAGATATAATTGTCATGTATTACATATTTATAAATATACTGAATAATACAATACATAATTATGTTATACTTATCACTATATCCGAGTGTATTGCATTAAAAGTTAGTCCATTGTTTAAATCATAAAAAGTCTTAAATTTTTTTTCATCGTATTCAATAAATGTGATTGTATTATAATAACACTTCTGAGACAGTACCAATAAAAGTTCATGAAAAAGTTATAAACAAGTAATGAAAGAATATTATTTTTATTAGAAGAGTAGTTGATGTTTATTTTTAAATGTAATACTTA